CAGGAGGCTGAGGCAGGAGAATTGCCTGAACCCGGGAGGCGGAGGTTGCGGTGAGCTGAGACCGCGCCATTGCACTCCAGCCTGGGTTACATGAGTGAAACTCCGTCTCAAAAAAAAAAAAAAAAAAATGTCCTTGAAGACCTCAGCAAAAGCTACTTCAGGGAAGTAGTGGGTTGAGGATAGAAGGAAAGAAAGTGGAGGCGGCAAATGCAGAGCATCCTTGCAAGAAACTTGACTGAGAAAGGAAAGGGGGAGGGAGTGATGGAGGTGGAGGTGGGCAGATGAGGATGAAAGAATGAATTCCTCCCAGCATTTTGGGAGGTTGAGGTGGGCAGATCAAAAGGTCAGGAGTTCAGGACCAGCCTGACCAACATGGTGAAACCCCATCCCTACTAAAAACACAAAAATTAGCTGGGTGTGGTGAAAAAAAAATTAATGAATGAATTCCAAGACAGGAGAGATGAGAGGGTATTTCTATGCTGATAACAAGAGGATGGAATGAGGCCAGTGAAACAAAAATGGACAAAGTTCTCAAGGAAGGGAGTGGGGGCAGGGGAGGAGAGTCAGGGCTCATAAAGAGGGATTGGCCTTGAAGAGAGGAGGAAAACTGCTCACCTGAAAAGGCAGTCAAGAGGTGGAAGGACCCTACATACAAATTTGCAGGTGTTACTGAAAAGTTGGCACACAGCCTCAGTGCTTCTGAAGTATGTGTCTCTCTTTTGGTTTGGGTGATGACTTTTTATGATAAAGTGACTTGGTGCACTGACTCTGGAACCAGAGTGCCTGTGGTTGAAATCCCATCTCTACCACTTAATACCTGCATGATCTTAGGGAAGTTAATCTCTCTGTGCTTCATCCTGCTTATCTGTAAAAGGGACTAGGGGTAGAGAGGGCTGTCACATAGTGATATGGATGAAATGAAAGTGGTCTTTCTTTCTTTTCTTTCTTCCTCCCCTTCCTTCCTTCCTCTTTCTCTCTTCTTTCTTTCTCTCTTTCTTTTCTTTCGTCTTTTAAATTTTTTTATACAGACAGGGCCTCCCTATGTTGCTCAGGCTGGTCTTGAATACCTGGCCTCAAGGAATCCTCTCGCCTCAGCCTCCCAAAGTGCTAAAATTACAGGCGTGAGCCACCACAACCAGCCGTGTTTATTACTACTTCCGCTAGATTGTCAACTCCATGAGGTTGAGGTTTTCTGTTTTCTTTAGAGTTTCTACTCAGAGCCTGCCACAAAGCATGTGCTCAAGAAAAATTTCCTGAATGAGTAAATTGGGTTGAAATCCTTGGGAGTGGGGCTCAGTGGGCTGGAATCCCGATTCCTGCGTCGGACTCCAGGCCACTGGGCGGCGTCCTGGGGTCTGGGGCAGGGCCTCCCCCTGCGCCGAGAGCGCCCCCGAGCAGACCGCGGCTCAGGCCGCGGTCCCGGCCCTGAGCCCCTGGGGCACTCTCGGGGCTCCTCCCCCGGCGGGCGCGTCGCGCCGACCCCGCTACGGCTACTGCAGGGGCAATCCGGGAGCCGGCCTGGCGGGGCAGGGCGGAGCCTACGCTCAGCCCGGCCTCTGCTCACCTCATCGACGGGGGACGGAAGTCTCGGTCTCGCTCGACTCTCGGAGGGTCAGGTCTCGCCTACGGGGCAGCTGGGCCTGGCCAAACCTGGGCGCGCTTCCGCGCGGAGGCGCCATGAAGCGCGCGGGGACTCTGCGGCTGCTCTCGGACCTGAGCGCCTTCAGCGGCGCGGCCCGGCTCCGAGAGCTGCTGACCGGGGACCCAGCGGTCCGAGTCCGCGGCAGCCCGAACGGCCGCCACCTGCTGCTCCTGCGACCCCCGGGGGCGCCAGCCCCGCAGCTGCTGGTCGCGGGGCGAGGGCCGGGCGTGGAGCTGGAGCTGGCCTGGCCGGCCTGCCAGCTCTCCCCGCTGGACGCCTTCTTCCTTTCGTGGCCAGCGCGGCCGGCTCTGGTGTTGGTGTGGGAGAGTGGCCTCGCCGAGGTGTGGGGCGCGGGCGTGGGGCCTGGCTGGCGGCTGCTGCAGAGCACTGAGCTGTGTCCGTGCGAGGGAGCTCGCGTGGTTGCCGTGGCGGCGCTCCGAGGCCGTCTGGTGTGGTGCGAGGAGCGGCAGGCCGGGTTCGAGGGCCCGCTAGGGCGGCCCGCAGCTGCTTTCAGCCACTGCGTGTGCGTCCGAACCCTGGAACCCGGCGGGGAAGCTGGCACCAGCCTAGGCCGCACACACGTACTGCTGCACCACTGCCCCGCTTTTGGGCTGCTGGCCTCCTGCAGACACCTCTTCTTGGTGCCCACTGCCACCACCTGGCCCGGCGTGGCCCACGTTCTACTCATCTGGAGCCCAGGCAAGGGCAAAGTGATGGTGGCTGCCCCACGGCGTGGCCTCTCCTACAGTAAGAGTCTGAATTCTGGACGAGGGGATACATGGGACTTCCGGACCCTGCTCCGAGGCCTTCCTGGGTTGCTGTCCCCCAGGGAGCCACTGGCTGTACACACCTGGGCCCCAACTCCCCAGGGCCTGCTGTTGCTTGACTTCGGGGGCACTGTGAGCCTAGTGCAATCCCACGGTGGTACCCGGGCTGTGGGCACCCTGCAGGAGGCGCCTGTAGGTCCACGGGGGTCTGCAGCCCTAGGCACATTTCAGGGCACTCTGGCCTGTGTGCTGGGCTCCACCTTGGAACTGCTGGACATGGGCAGTGGGCAGCTGCTGGAGAGGAAGGTCCTAAGTACAGACAGGGTACATCTGCTGGAACCCCCAGCCCCCGGCATGGAGGATGAGGAAGAGCTAGAGACCCGCGGGAGTCTTCGTCTGCTTTCAGCCTTGGGTCTGTTTTGTGTGGGCTGGGAAGCCCCACAGGGTGTTGAGCTGCCTTCAGCCAAGGACATGGTGTTTGAGGAGGCCTGCGGGTACTACCAGCGGCGGAGCCTACGGGGTGCCCAGCTCACCCCAGAAGAACTGAGACACAGCAGCACATTCCGGGCACCTCACGCTCTGGCCTCTATCCTCCAGGGCCACCTGCCCCCATCTACACTGCTGACCATGTTGAGGACTGAGCTTCGGGATTATCGAGGCTTAGAGCAGCTGAAGGCCCAGCTGGTGGCCGGGGATGATGAGGAGGCTGGCTGGACTGAGCTGGCAGAGCAGGAAGTGGCACGCTTGCTGAGGACCGAGTTGGTAGGAGACCAGCTGGCCCAGCTCAACACCGTTTTCCAAGCCCTGCCTACCGCAGCCTGGGGTGCTGCCCTCAGGGCCCTGCAGCTCCAGCCAGATGGGAATGGCAAGCTAAGGTCCCAAGCACCCCCTGATGTGTGGAAGAAAGTGTTAGGGGGAATAACCACTGGAAAGGAACCCCCCAATGGAATATTGCCCCCCTTTGAACTCCTGTGCCAATGCCTGTGCCGGCTGGAGCCTCGATGGCTGCCACCCTTTGTGGAACTGGCACAGCAGCAGGGTGGGCCGGGCTGGGGGGCAGGGGGCCCGGGACTGCCCCTGTATCGCCGAGCCCTGGCAGTGCTAGGTGAGGAGGGGACCAGGCCTGAGGCACTGGAGCTAGAACTGCTCTTGAGCAGTGGGCGGCCCAAAGCTGTGCTCCAAGCTGTTGGGCAGCTGGTGCAAAAGGAGCAATGGGAGCGGGCTCTGGATGCTGGCCTGGCCCTCGGCCCCTCCAGCCCCCTGCTTCGAAGTGAAATCTTCAAACTGCTGCTAGCTGAGTTTGCCCAGCACCGCCAGCTTGATGCTCACCTCCCCCTGCTTTGCCGCCTGTGCCCACCAGGACTGGCTCCAACTGAGCTCCTGCTTCTACTGCGGACATACCTCCCAGATGAGGTGGGGCCCCCTGCCCCATTCTCTGAGCCTGGAGCAGAGCCCTGTCTTACTGTGGGCTTGCTCAAAGCCCTGCTGGAGCAGACTGGGGCTCAAGGATGGCCTTCGGACCCAGTTCTAAGCCCATATGAGGACATACTGTGGGACCCCAGCACTCCACCCCCCACTCCACCTCGGGACCTATGACCACCCTCCAGGCATCAGACCGCTCAGGGCCTGGAGGCTTGCTTGGGCACCATGTGGACAGGTACTGTGTCACTGACAGAGAAAATCATTTCTGGGACACAGTTATCAGGGAAAGATGCCTGGGACTTGGAGAGGCCCATGGTGGACCTGTATATGCAAAAGTCTTCTGTCTTCTGGAAATATTTTTAAGATAAATGTGTGTGTTAAATATATACACAGTTTAATATATACACTGTTGTGTGTTTTTAAACAGCTGTGAGTCTCAGAGGATACAGGTTATAGAGGGAGTGGTTGGATACGGATCTTTTGGCCAAAGTGTCCACTTCCAATCATGAAAATAGTTAGCATTTATAAGCATCTAATGCTTCTTATAACCCCCGTGGGGAAAGTACTAATGTTATTCCCATTTTACAGAAAATATAAGTTTGGAAAAATTAAATGACTTGACCAAGATCATTCAGCTAGAAATTAGCAGCTCAAAGATTGGAGCCACCTCACTGAATAGACCAGTAGTTCCCACCTGCTTGGGCTTGGATGTGCTCCCCATCCCTGGCTCCATGCTGGCTTCTGGGGCCTGCTGAGAGGAGGGGGACTGCAGAGCTCTACCCTTCCTTTCTCCAGGACTCCTCTGCTCCAGAGTAGGAACTGTGCTGGGCCCTGGGTCCTTGCCTGTCTCCACCAGGATTTCTGGAGCAGCCCCTAGTTTAGGGAAAGATTTGCCACAGACAGGAGAGCTGCGTGCAGAGCTCTCTGGCTCAGTAACAAAATTCACTGGGAACAGAACTACTTGGAGAGCCCCATATTCCTGCTGACTCCCCCAAGTCAAGAAATAACAGCATCGGCCGGGCGCAGTGGCTCAAGCCTGTAATCCCAGCACTTTGGGAGGCCGAGGCGGGTGGATCACGAGGTCAAGAGATCGAGACCATCCTGGTCAACATGATGAAATCCCGTCTCTACTAAAAATACAAAAAATTAGCTGGGCATGGTGGCGCGTGCCTGTAATCCCAGCTACTCAGGAGGCTGAGGCAGGAGAATTGCCTGAACCCAGGAGGCGGAGGTTGCGGTGAGCGGAGATCGTGCCATTGCACTCCAGCCTGGGTAACATGAGTGAAACTCCGTCTCAAAAAAAAAAAGAAAAGAAAGAAAGAACAGCATCTACAACACAGATCTCTGTTTGTCTGGATTTATTCAACAGGCTCACCTCTGAAGAGTCCTTCACCCTATGCCCACTTCTACCCAAGTAACGCCTCAGCCTATCTTAGGACAGACCCTGGTTCTGACTTAGGGTAGGACCCTGGATGCAGCTACTCAGCATCATCCCCAGTCCCAGATACCCCTTGTCCAGGCCTGAGGCCAAGGTTAGGGCTGCCATTCAGCTTTGTCCTCAGCTGGGACCTGCAGCTTAGATTCTGCTAGCCTTAATCTGGACTTACAGTGGACTCAGGCTAGGACTAATGAGACTAGGCACAGTTCCTGTCTCTAGGGAGAGAAGTAGTTACTTAGACTTATCCATGGCTGGTGTTAACTCTTCAGCCTCATGGAGGTCCTGAGGTGACTCATCTACATGGCCAAGTCCTGAGGTACCATCTTGGCCTCCTCTGGAGCTTGGATGTCCCTTGTCCTGGCCCTCAAGCCAGACTGCCTACCAATAGCTGGAGTCAAGCTACTGCTCTTCCCGGAGGCCCATGGCTAGGGACAGTTCCAATCCTGGCCTCCACCTCAGCCCCTTCCTGGTCTGGGAGGAGTTTCTCTTCTTGGTCTTGAAACGGGTCATCATGGCTCAGTGGGAAGCTGCTTCTTGTTCGTGATCCTGCTCAATCATTGTTGCATCTTCTCAAATCTCCCAAGCCTGAGATTTGGCTTGGTCCTCCTGTGCCTGGAAGAGAAGGAATTCTACTTAGTGGGCTCCTGGGGGTATGGGCAAGGGAAGGAGGCCAGGTTTTTCCTTCAGGTTATATGATTCAAGGAAGTTCCCTGGGACCATCCACTAGTAGAGCCTCCAGATTGAAGGCCACCCAGCCAGCCTGGCAGCTCTGAGCAGCGCAGGTGGGCTTAGATGGTGACTTTTACCTGCTTTGACAGGCTTGGTGCTTGATCACACTAGCCTTATCCTTCCCTTCAATGTGGAGGGTGCAGGTGATCCCAAATTATGTCTCAGGACTTTGGAAGACAGTTCAGGGATACAGGGATCATCTGTGACTGAGTTTTGATGGAGTTTCTGAGAGGACTATCAGACAGACAGAGGTCTCTGAATAGGTAGGTGGAGATCTGAAGTCTGAGGTCTTTGGTTGATAGGGAGGGTCCCTGGACAAGATGCTGGGACCCGAGGAAATGAGAGATTCAGAAGCTAAAGTCCTTGGCCTTGGGTACCTGAGAAAAGTAAGTAAGTTCTGACATTGATGGGTTTCATTTTTGCTTCTGTTTTTAAGAGATAGGATCTTGCTCTGTTGCCCAGCCTGGAGTGCAGTGGCTTATGGGCTCAAGTGACCCTCCTGCTTCAGCCTCCCAAGTAGCTGGAACTACAGACGCAGGCCACTGTGCCTAGCTTGGTTGCCTTTTTTCTTTTGTTTCTTTTTGAGAGAAATTCTTGCTTTGTTGCCCAGGCTGGACTTGAACTCCTAGACTCAAGGAATCCTCCCACCTCAGCCTCCCAAGTACCTCAGATTTTAGGAACATGCCACCACACCGGGCTGCTGAAGGTTTTGAGTGGTGGACAAGGTTTCAGATCCAAGGTTCTGAGGCAGGAGAAGTACAAGGGTCTGAAGTCCCTGGGAAGGTGAGGGGAGAATCCTAGGCCAGTGGGTAGGAGCATTTACATAGGTATGCCTCGCCTCAGGAGCTCTCTCAGGTTCACATGGCAGTAAAGCTAGGCACAAGGAGTGCTACACAGTAGTCCCAGCAAGCATCCTGGGTGAAGGAGAGGAAGCAGGGCGCAAGGCTCCTCCAACTGCCTATGTGGCCTTAGGGACCCAAGCCTCCCTTTCACTTTTTTTTTGGTGATGGGGAGACAGAGTTTTGCTCTGTTGCCCAGGCTGGAGTGCAGTGATGCGATCACAGCTCACTCCATCTCGCCAGTTCAAGTGATTCTCCTGCCTCAGCCTCTCGAGTAGTAGCTGGGATTACAGGCATGTGCCACCATGCCCAGCTAATTTTTTTTTTTTTTTTTGTATTTTTAGT